ATCTACAAAAAGGGTGATATTGTAGAATCAAGAGAATGGGTACGGTGGAAAAGGAATGCCTCACAAATGTTACCATGGCAAAAGGAGAAGAGTCTACAACATTACCCAGCATGCTGTTGGCACTGTTGTAAACAAGCGAGTTAAGGGCAAGATACTTGCCAAGAGGATTTTTTTTTTAATATTTATTTATTTATTTACTTACTTATTTATTTAGTGTGTGGCCAGCTCAGCCCACCAGGGGGCGGGCGGGCCAGCATGTGGTGCTGGGGGATTGAACCGAGGTCTCTGTGCTTTGCTTGAGCTTAGTTTGTTCTAAGTAGGTGCTTTAGACCACTGAGCCATCTCACCAGCCCCTTGCCAAGAGGATTAATGTGCGTATTGAGCATATTAAACACTCAAAGAGTCATGACAGCTTCTTGAAATGTGTCAAGGCAAATGATCAGAAAAAAGAAGGAAGCCAAAGAGAAAGGTACCCGGGTTCAACAGAAGTGCCAGCCTGCCCCTCCTACAGAAGCGCACTTAGTGAGGACCAGTGGGAAGGAACCTGAGCTATTGGAACCTGTTCCCTATGAATTCATGGCATAAACTGGGGATGTTGCTCTGCCATTCAGTACCTAACTGGCAGTTTAAGTGTTCTAGGTCCTACATAAAAATAAAATCATCCTGTGTTGTAAGGGTGGTTTTCTTAGTTAAACAGCTATGTGGTGCCTTCTTATCTCAGAAATATTTGCAGCACATTTTTACTGTACCTAGTAATTGTGTCTAGTCTTTACTCTTCAGTGTTTTTCTTGCTCAAAAGATATTACTGAGGTATTGTGCAGGTGTATACCCAAATATTCAAATATTTATAAACTATTTATATTGGCTTGAAGATCCTGTAAATCATCATTGGAAAAGATGTATCAAAATAAATGGAAGTCACTTCAGAAACAAATTTAAGTCCATTTCAGTTAAATAAATTGTTTAAAGCACACACACACACACACACACACACACACACACAAAAGATACACTTAAGTGAGAAACAACAGTGATCCAGAGGCTAGCAGCAGCTACCGCTGAGGGATGGGGTTCTAGGTGACATCACCCCGCCCCACAGTGTTTGTATGTCCTAAGGTATATTTGTAAAAAGAAAAACATTATATGGTATGTCGTATTGTGTTTTGAGAGAGCTGAGAAGTGACTGGCAGGGCATTGCCTCTCCACTAATAAGGGCAAGGGAAACAAGAACAGGTAGAGTGACAGAAGACAAGATGCCTGGCCTAAGCAAAACGTCCTCCCATCTGGGAAAGCTCACCCTCCTCATCCCACTTCCTGAATACTTACTCTGAAAGCTACTGGGCAGGGCCAGGCAACAAAGCATGCTGATGTACAAGCTAGGGAAGAAAGGAAAGTGAGATGACAGTAATAACGGTGACTGTAACTGGTGACGCATCAGGCACTAGAAGAAATTAATCAGTTCAGTAAACAATACAAATAATGAGAGTCTGGTCTTTTATAGTAAAGTTAAAAAAAAAAAACACAAAAAATAGAGAGAAAACTGGGCTAATTCTCTGGTGAAATCTGAGATATCAAATTAAACTCATGAGTTCAATATATTCAAAGATGAATAGAAAAATAAATATAAAGGAAGAATGTGGGTCTCTAGCTCTGTACTAAGGTCAGGAAGCAGCAGAAGTAATTACTAGCACTGGGATAATTACAACTACCCTAGACCGCAGTAATAAACATACCTTATGCCCACACCTTCCTTTCCAAAAACTATTCTTCACTAATAGGAACCAGGGCCCTTGTAACACAATTTGACTACAGAGCTGAAGGAGAAAAATACAAGATGAACCAAGAAAATCTACTGTATTTGAAGTAGTGTTTGAAGAATGCAACATTTCAAAAGTGCTCAGAATCAAACTGAAGGAGCTCGTTAAGGACAAATTAAGGTAAATCCAAGCACTCTACTAAGTAAGGCGACTGACTAAGTATAACCACTATATAAAATAGAGTCTATGACGAGTGACGTGAGTCTGAGATAAAAAGTCAGACACCTGGGGGAGGTTGGATGTATTGGTTGACATGCTTAGTCTCAAAATAACTCAACAGCAGACAGCATCTCAACTGACATCACCTCTGATGGGCTAAGAGGAAACGGGGTGCTGCCTGCAAGGGTGTATGAGGGAAGCATAGCATCACCCCCCCGGGTACTCTTCCCAAGAAACAATCCACAGACAACTAGCCTACAATCTTCACGTCAAGGTCAGGAAAGCCAAGAAAACATTGCAGAACTCTTCCAAACTAGAAGATCAACATGGCAAGAAAACAAAATATAGCATATGATTCTATCATGCATCCATTTTATCATCTGCAAACCCCAAGTGGAAGCTGAGGGCTAAGTGGTACCAACACAGTGGCATTAACTCCCTGATCTGGGTTGGCTGTATTGTGCTTTATTAAAAAATGTCTTTGATCACAGGCAAATATACTAAAGTATTCAAAGGCAATAAAATACTATTTGTCACTATGAGTTCTGGTGGGAAAAGCTCTCTGTTACCCATTAATAAAAAACAAAATGTGAAAGCTGCAATTCTTAGCCCAGACATTCCCACTCAATTCCTTAAAATGTTATGGTTTAGCTCCTAAGTGCCTCCTTAGGCCCACATGGGAAAGGCTTGGCTGCCAGCTGTGGAGGTGGGAGAACCTGTGTGAGGAAGTCCCGGGGAAGGGTCAGACTGCTGGGAGCAGGCACCTATGAGAACATCAGGACTCCAGCCACCTCCTCTTTCTCTCTGCTTCCCAGACACCTAGGGGTATTCGGCTTTTCCACCACACTCTCCATTCCATGAGGCACAGGACCTTACCACGAGCCCAAAGCAACAGGGCTAGGCAGTCAGGGGGTGCAAACAAACACTGGGCCAAAATAAACTTTTTTCCTCTTTTTAGGTTGATTATTTCTGTATTTTGCCATCATGCCCGAAATATGAGTAATACAGACGCCTTGGGTGCATTTCCATCAGTTATCTTAGACAACTATGATGATAGTGGACACCACAAAATTCAGAGTATGGCAGCTGGCACGTTGTAATGCTGATCAGGGGCACAGGATACTTGCCAAAACTAAGGAGAAGGAAGAGAGAGGCTGAGCGCAAGCGTGTTTGCAGATACTTGCATAAATGCAAGGTGAAACCTTATCTTCTCTAACAAGCCTCACTGAGAGTGACTTAAATGCTCTTAAGATGTTGAAAGGAAGGAAAAGCTCATAGACCCCCGCCACCCCACGCCTGGGCCATTCTTTCTTCTTAGCCCAATACTTGGGGATGATATGGGCTGGCCCCAGGAGCTGGTAAGGAGGTGCAGGTGGTAATGGCTACCTCTGTGGATCCACATCCCAGGGAGCCCGCTGGGGAGTATTTCCCTCCAGGACCTAGAAGATTATATTCTGAAGAGAAGAGCTAGATGAATGACTCCTAGAAGCTAACCTAATGCTTTCATCTCAGCAGCAAACCCAAAACCTAGCCATCTACAACTTCTCTTGTAACAACTTACTTTCCATGTCAAAAATGCAGACTGAAAGAGAAGATAGAGAATGTTCACCTTTCTCTCTTTTTTTTCTTTTGTATTTTTAGGGAAGGATCCACAGCATGTTCAGGGTCTCACTACTAGATCAGACTTAAGAGTGATCCGTCTGTTTACAGCCTCCCAAGAGCTGGGATTATAGGCGCATGCCACCGTGCCCGGTCTCAATTGCTATCTCAGCGTCCCCCGCGGCAGGGCCAGCACAGCAGGCCTGGCCCCTGTGCCTGTTTGCAGGTGCTTTCATCCACTGAGCTATTAGGTCAGCCCTCACTTTTCAGATTGTCTCAGTATCTTTTATTAGACAGCATGAGCCTTTTGAGTCATTGCCACTACTCATAAATCAAATGTTAAGAGTCACACTTTGTTTCCTAAGGAGAAAACTCATTTTATATGTAGGCACCTGTACCTACAGAATTAGGTTAGAGTAGAAGTTTAGTTGTCATACTTTCATAACTTTCCCTTAGCAGATTAAAAAAAGGTACACTGTTCTAAACTAACACACAAATGACTTGCATCCATTAGATAAATTAGAAAGAAACTACAGGTCCGAAGATTTCTTAATGTTTTATGGTCACTTCATGCATATATCATCTACTATTACGCTATATGGAACGTGACTTACAAACTTTAAAACTCTGTAGGACCTAAGTCATCTCTTCAACTGCGCAGAAGCTGAGAATGCCAGGGAATTAAAATCCAAATGAGTAATCCAAGAAACAGGCAGCTGATTGGACACAGCAACTTCCTTCTTTCCTAGATTCTTGAGGGTCCAATCTACATAAGTATCATGTCTCCATCACACTACTTTCTATATTCACCACCCAACATGCTTGCCCTTTAGAACTTTGTGTAGTTTGAGTCTTAAAGCATCAATACATGAACACTCTACTTAAATAGTTTCTATGTATTCTATGAAATTACAGCTGAAAACAAAATCCACCAAGCCACACAATAGCAAAACCCACAGAATGTCTCTTTCGTTATGTACAATGCCAGGAAAAAGTTTCTCTGTAAACAAATGTGCATGCTTTCATTCCATAGACAATGAATATTATGTAATTCAATGCTACACAGAGAAGGCAATGGTTCTCTGTTAGGCTAACAGCCAAAACCCTGGAAATCAAATACAAGAGTTATAATTAGCTCTCAACGGGAGCCTGGTACCTTCTTTTCCCTATGCTTTTCTTGGCTGGTTTATGTCCTTTATTTTTAATTACACCAGATGAAATGCTTTTAAAGGCAAGTATATGTGTACATGTTTTGTATCATATCATGTGTTTTCTGACACTATTCTCCAGTCAATGATCAGGAAAGCTAATGTAATAAAGACCAAGCAATGCACATGCCTCGTTCCCCTTGCCAGTCCTCAGCCCAGCCACATGGAACCCAGCGAGGAAGGCACCATCATGCTGCCACATCCGCCATACTACTACCTTTGCAGTAATCCGCAGGATCCTCCTGTTCCTCATCATCTGATCCCAGGATCTCCTCCTCTGGCTCCGGGGGAGTAGGGTCTGGCAGTGGTGGTGGTGGTGGAGGAGGAGGTGGAGGCGGAGGAACTAAAGGAGCTTTCTGTTGAGGCTCCGGCCTGAAAGATGGAGAGAATATTTCTATTTACTCAGAAGTAAATCTTGCATTATGGAAACATTTGAGAGTTTCTTAATAAGGGAAAAATTAAAACTTGTCACACAGTAAGAAATGCTGATTAATGTCACTTCATTTTATTTTTAAAATTTTTTTATTTTTTTGTCACTTCATTTTAGCTGAATTTAATTATGCTTCAATATACAGATGAGGGGCTACCCTTATGAATGAAGGAATATTTTATGGGAATATTTTCACAGTTTAAGAATTTCTTAAGGCTTGAAAATGCTATGAAATTTCAACAAAATTAACAAGTACACTACAACACACATTTTCTTTTTTTTTTTATTTTATTTTTTTATTTTTTTGGTGGAACCGGGGATTGAACTCAGGCCCTTGCGCTTGCCAGGGAAGAGCTTATTCCACTGAGCCATCTCCCCGGCCCCACAACACACATTTTCATTAGAAAGTGTCCTACAAAAATTTTAAAAAGACAGAAGCAAGCAGCCTTAAGTCAGAATTTTCTTCCCATAGAAATAGTAGGAATAAGATTAATTTCCAGAATGATTCATAAAAGTTGATTAATATATAATCTACCTAAAGTATATTTTCAAAAAAAATAAAGTATAGTTTCATTTAAGAATGCAGGTTTCTATCAGCCTTACTTATGAAGAACACTATCCAAAACAGGAAATAAAAGAAAGACCCATCATCAGTCAAGTACAAGTACAGTCTGTCCATGCTACAAAAGTCATTTCCACTTGTCCCAAAAGAGGTGAAATGATGTTTTTAGTATAACCTTTTACAAAGGAGAGAAAAGGGAAGAAAAAAGTTTTGATGGCTTAAAGAGGCAAACCTTGAAATATCAAGAATAACTCACACATAATAATCACATTTGCTTGGAAGTGAAACACTTGAAAGGGATTCTATAAAATCAGCTTGCAGTTGCTCTTCGAGTTCATTGCAGGAGCTGGGAGTGTAGCTTAGTGCTGCACACCTGCCCAGCATGCATGAGGTCCCAAGTGCAGTCTCCAGTTCTGAAAAATTCAAATGCTATTTCTAACCATGTCCCAATATGGAAAACACGAAGCTACGATCTCAATTCTGATACCAGAAGCACATGTTTCTTAAGCTGCCGTCCTAACAGGAGCACCACTGTTATCCCTGAACTGGCCTTGCAATATGGGTGAAAAGTGAATGGGAACAGAAGCCTGGGAGAAGCAGGGGTCTTGGGGAGATAAGGGTGTCTGCAGAAGCAGTGTCAGCCACGAGAAGTGATGGGACCCTAGAGAGAAGCAAGGAGAATGTCAGTGGCATCAATGTGGAAGCAAAGGAGCATTTTTTGCCTGTCCAGAGTATATTTTCTCTTTCTAAAAATACCTGGCTTCCCTTTGGGGACACTGGCACTCCCTCCACAATGGAAAGGTGATTCTAGATCCCTCCTGTCCTCACCATGGCACAGCCTGGACACATAATCAAAGCTTGCTCTTCAGCCCCAGAACTGAGGAGGTCAGCTGTCCCAAGGGTGCAGCCTCATCATCAGCTGCTACAAAGAATCAGGGACACAGAAACTGTTGAGAACACGGTCCCTAAGCAGGACCTCTATGTCTTTGCCCAATCTAAGAGCACCCAACTTTCCATGCAAGTTAACTATACTTAATATGTGTAGTTTGCCAATAAAACCCCAAACAGTCACACCTGAGAAAAAGAGGGAGTGAGAAGGACAGCAGACACATCAAAAAGTTGTAAGGAAAGGGTAGAGACTACACAAGACAGGTAAGCAGGAAGGTAATGCTACAGTATGGCTACTTTTGGCAGAAAAAAATGCTAAGTGTTTCTAAATCAAAGGTGACATAATAATCACTACTTGTTAAAATGTATAAAGACTTAAAGTTACAGTTCCCCAGGGAGCATGTGGTGATGGTACCACTCTGAGTTTGCTGGCAGTCACAGTGGGGCACTGAGGAAACAGGCAACTTCCTGAAGTGCAGTATGCTTTCTGGCAGCCTTGCGAATGCCCTTTTCCTTTTAACAGACAAGCCACAACTGACACAATGGTCACAGGCATAATGGAATCCTGAAGAGGGGAAGGCAGGGGAGGGTCACAGAACTGTCATTATGGCACCTAAGAATAAGAAATTACCTCCAAGAGCCAGGCGCTGCCCATTCTCTGAGGGAATAGGCAGAATCTCGCTCCTGATCAATTGATAAGTTAAAAATACTTCCAAAAGCTGATTGTTTCTACCTAATTTAGCAACTTTGTATAAAGAAAAAAAAATAAAAGTAGTTTTTCTGAATCTAAAACAAACTATAGAAATGACTTAATGATCTTTTCTATCAGTGCAGCCCACTAATGTGCTCAGTACCTCCGGGCCAGCGCACATGTGGCTACAAGGACTGCCGCCACATTACAGGCACCCTCACCTTTAGCCGCTGCACATCAGCAGTGTGCACACTACCACTTCCAGGTGTGACCGCAAAAATACGTCCAGATACTAACTTATGTGTCCTGCAAGCAAAACCATTCCCACTGTCAACCACTGCATTGGTAATATTTCTATATACTGTACAGGCATGCCTCATTTAAAGACCAAGTTACATTTGCTAACTGAGTTGGTCACTAAGGGACTGTATAGAGTCTGAACATTACAGTATTCAGAACAAAGAGATGGTCAAAGGAAATTCCAATTTGATGACTTTGCTGTTATTTCCGTAACTGACATGTAGTACTGTAATACATAAAAGAACATAAAGCTACAGAGCTGCACTATACAGTACAATCAGCAAAAATTATAGCATTGCATAAATGAGGTGTACTGTACAAATAAGCCATAGAGAGCCTCTATAAACAAGATATACAGGGGCCAGGGAGATGGCTCAGTAGAATTAAGTGCTTGCCTGGCAAACACAAGGGCCTGAGTTCAATCCCTGGTTCTGGGAAAAAAAAAAAAAAAAAAAAGATATACAGAACTATACAAAAAAAAAGGGGACTTAAGTCCAAGTGGCAGGTCCTCAATCCAAGCAGTGCCCCTCAGTTGCAAGTCAGAACCATCATTAGCCAGGTAGGCTGTTGAATGAAAAATACCATACGATTTTACTTCACTGGACAAGGCTGTTTCTGTGATAATGGAGAAGAGATTTTAATTTTCACTGTCCATCCCAGATGCTCAGGCACCTTCATGATAATGTGTGTGTCTCATTCTACTTAACTGCAGAGCAGCATGCAGAGCTTCACAAAATTCTCAAACTCTGGTCTAAGTGAACTGGTGCTATACATCCTGCAGTGAGGACTGTGCTGAAGCACCAAGCACTTTCTACCCAATTAAAGGGCTAAGTCAGAACACCATGAGGTGTAGGAGAGGGTGAGAAATGCTGATTTAATAGTTAACTGGAACCTTTAAATACAAAAAAAAAAAAAAAAAAGCATACATTGTACTACTGATTCACTCTGTACCTAGACAGCAATTCATACTTACCCAGATTTCTGGTCATATCAGTGGTGGGCATTTTTCTAAAACGTCTCCTAATGACCTACTTTAGAGCAATTAACAGTAATTCTCAAATCATTTAGTTTACCACGCAAGTATTAGTCCAACTTAGCAGCCAATGCTATAACTTGGATCACTGGTTACTTTTCCGATTTATCCATCCTTGTTACTGCCTACCACATACCAGGATACAATCAAGTTTGTTCCAGTGCAGACTCACAGAAGCCATGCCATACAGCCTTAGTCTGGCATCTTTAGGGAAGTTTGTAGAGGACTGCAAAACCCTATTAAATCTTGATAGTCTAAAATGTCAAGAGGTGACAGGTTATTATATTAAATACAGTCTCATGAAATGTACCAACAGATTTAAAAAAGAGACCATGAATTCTAATGAAAATCATCAACAGAAGAAGCTTTTTCATATATAAAATACCAGGGGCACATTAACAGTAGCCATAGGCAGGGGGAGAAGCCTGATAATCTCATGTTTTCAACAAATGGTAATGGTAATGTTTTTAACAAAAATCTATATGCCCCCGAAACTGGATGCCTAACCCAAACTGGATCAAAAAATTAATGAAAGAGGTCTATACGCTTAAATGAAAAAGGTGTATAAAACTTTCGGGGGAAAAAAAGGATGAGTTAATCTCCATAACCTTGGGTTAGCCAATGTTTCTTTTTTTCCCCCACAATTTTATTGAGAAATAAATAGCAATGAGACAGTTTCAAATCAAATTGGTAGGACAGTTTCAATAATTATCACATTGCATACTCTCTTCCTAGTGGTTATTTGCTGTACAAGATGCGGATATGATATCCTATTTACAAACACTATTAGAACAAATCCCTCTATTCATTAAGAGAACGTAACTATATATCTATCCTAACCGCTTTGAATACACAGATACAAAATGGACATTCATCTGCATCCCCTTTTTTGTAGCCAATGTTTCTTAGCTACAACATCAAGAGCATAAGCAATAAAAGAGAACATGATAAATTTGGTTTCATCACATCTAAAAGCTTTTATACTTCAAAGAGTACCACCAAGAAGAAGCCCACTAAATAGAAGGAAGTCTTTGCAAATCATGTAACTGGAAAGGGAACTGTATGTAAAATATATTGTATAAAGAACAAGCCAATGTAAAAATAAGTAGGAGCAGGGTGGAACTCAGTGGTAGAGCACTTGACTACAATGTACAAGAACATTTAATCAGCAGTACTTCTGACAGAAAAAAAAAAAAATCTCTGTGTGTAAAGGACTGCAACAAACATTTCTCTAAAGAAGATAAATGAGTGAAATACATGAAAAATGTTCAACATCATTAATCATGAGGAAAAGAAAACCAAAATTATGAGATATGACTCATACTTAAACAGAACAGCTACAGCAAAAAATCAGGAAAAGAAATGTTAAGAAAAAAAAATTTTAAACTTGAACCCCTCATATAATGCTGATGAGAATATAATTTAGCAAGTAAAATCTATAAATTCCCCCAAAGTATATACAGAGTGA